TTTGGCAATCACTGGACTATACGATGAGGAATTTAAGCCTGCCTTACTATTTCTTGTAAAGTCCTCAAAAGATTGGTTTCACGTAATGACGCCTGCATATGAAAGCCAAAACTAGTCAGTTGTATCGGAGTCGCCGATGGCTTATTAATACAATTCAAAATTAACTCTTGGTTTCTGGTAAGACAAATTTACCAATTACTTCCATCCGCATCATTCAAACCAACGTATGACTGTAGTGGCATGAAATCGCTAGTGGATTGTTAAAAACCCATCTGTTCCACATGTTCTATCCCTTCACACAAAGAAATTAGACTATATGAAAGAAAATATTAGATAGCAACCTGATGAATCTGAAGTCTTCTAAGATGATGTAGGACTGAGGATGAATGAGTTAAGATGCCATTTTATTTTACATAGTGATTTATATGAAGCCTTCTAATCCTACGTAAAACATAGTCTCAATTCAGCTTAGGTTTCACCGGCAACCTCAGGCCGATCGACCTTTAGGGCAATCCAGATATCTCCCATTCATATCTATGCTAAGATTGTTGTCGATGAGGCAAAATTGTATTTGTCGTTACAATATACTACTTTACTATATAACTAAAAGGGTGTTAGTAAAGTATCAGTAAATACTAAGCAATAATTTTATCCTAGTTATTTGACCTACACTGTTTACTTCCGAGCCTATGAAATATGGGCATCTAAGCAGATTTTGCAGCCTCTTTTCTCTGAATATACTTGGTTTGACCCAAAGTTGTGTTCTGCAGAAGACTTTAAGGACCGTCTCCTGTACTGCATCCTCTGAAATTGTTGTCTTTTCTTCTTTCGGTATCGGACCATCTACTGGGTGTATTCTAGGACGTTTCATCAGCGCGGCTGTCGTCTTTAGTGAGTAGTGCAATGGAATGGAGATTATTCGAACATTCTTTTTATTTGTTGTCGCTATGATAGCTATTATCAAATATTTCGAAATAAAATGATTGACTTTTCTGCAGAGCTAACGCGGCTAGAAGAGTAAAAACGTTGTGCCAAGTAGGATCATTTAATTACTTTAATGGATAACTAATCCAGAGACAAGTAAGGCCTTGTATCGGCAAATCTCAGACTGGTCAAATCTGATATGACAAAATTAGAAGATACGGCATTGCCCACAAAAGTCAGATTGAGGATACACAAGCCCGATAAATAAACTCAAGGTGATCGAGGAATGGTCTCCCATAGTTTACAATGCATGTCCTTGCTGTAATCACCGCAGTCTCCAAGTCGAGGAAATGGCCATAAGAAGAGCCGTTTCGACATCAAAAGAAATAAAAGGACAGGATCGAAATTCACTGCTCATAGGTAGACTAATACCACCAATTTTTGAGTGATATGCGCGTGACTGTATGCTCCCCTAAATGGATCGAAGTGATCTTGTTTTATAGGATTGGTATGAGTGTAAATCAAGTAAGGGAAATGACTAGCAGTTAATTAAGAAAGATAAATGGTAAATGGACGCATATAGGCGAGTGTCATTTGTACAATGTGCCGAGGTGGGCCTATAACGCACTCTAAAGTGAAGATGAATAGAGATTCATAATAAGAAAATAAGAAGAAAGAAGAGGGACTAGTTGGCCAATGCCGAATGGAAATAAAAGAGTTAAAAGCCCATTGGGCATATGACGTTGTTAGATTTTCCCAGGGATTTTGAGTTGATTAAGTTTCTGCGAGTAGATATTTTTATTCGATTTCTGCGGAAGCAATCTCATTTTGTCCTCCCAAGAGGGGTATAGTAGTCGCCTGGGTGGCGGACCCAGAGCGAATTTCGTTATCGGAGACTTCGCTCTCCTTTGTGAATACAACCATATTGCGGTCCTCGAGGCGAGCGGTCCGTTTGCCGACCACTATGTTGCCGAAAGCCAGGTCACGAGCCACCTCATCAAAAGTGCGACCGCGAGTCTCCGGCATGAAAAGGAAGAAGAAGACCCAACACGTTACCACGATCACGAGGAAAGGCAAGAAGGAGAAGCCTTTGATTGCTTGCTGTTTTTCAAAAGGATAAATATTTCAGATATCAGATAGAAAGCAAAAAAAATACTATTTACTCCTTAAATGCATCATAATAGAGTAAGCGAGGGCCAGAAAGTGAAGGCCCTACTAAGATGGTTCCATTTCGAAATAATAAATTAAGAAGCTAAAACTAAGACTTTAAATAAATGGTGTGATAGTAGAAATTTAGCAAATATATAAATGAGCAGGAAAGATCTCTTGAACAATATAGAGGCCGTAATCAGTGGCTTCTTTTTAATCCTGCTGAGAAGTAAATAGAGATAAAATATCAACAGAATAAATTGTTAAAGAGTGAAGCGGATACTTTAAATTCAGTCTAAGATGGGGAGAGACGATATTAGTATGGCCTAAGGTTTGTTAGCAATAACTCTTCTCTGTAGAAAGTTGGTTTGACCTCGTTTTCATAATATTGTCAGATCTTTAGAGAGATCTCAAATAACGAAATATGCATATATTATCTGTCATTATGTAATATTATAGCATAGGAAACTGACTGGGTTAATTTTCAATCGTTTAGTCGATATTGTACTGAACAACAATTCATCAAGGTGGAAATTCATCCAAATATGAGGATGTTTTGGGCTCTGTGCGATTCAATAGACTAATACAATAATTACTTGTAAATGTGAGTTCGTAACTTTCTGAAGATGTCCATAGTGTTTATTCTGATTGAAACATAGTGTACATGTAACCACTATACAAAAATCGACTATCCAATGAAGTATAACTACAGCAACTCTAAAGTTGTGTGCTTTCGGCTTCCGCTGAGAAAAGTCTATGAAACCCATTTGTCGAGAAGTGGGTTGACCTCGTTGTCGCAACTTGGTCTTGTTGTCAGGACGACTATGTAGAACGCA